GATGTCACAGAAAATATCAAATAGTACTGAAACAATTGATAAGTTGATCAATTAATGATCAATTTCATTAAAGGTATTCATCAAGGAAAAATGTAAAGAATTTGCTGTTTCCAGCTTTTCAAATGTCGGGAATTTCAGCTTTTCTCTGTTTTAGATTGTTAAATTATAATTTGCATAGCTTTGGTTTCTGGACTGTTGTGTGGACAAAACAAAGCAATTTGAAGTTGTTTTCCGAGGTCTGTGACACTATTTCCATTTTCTTCTGACATTTTAAAGGGTGAGCTAGAGGTTTTCAGCTTTTCTTTTTCTTTTTTTTTTTTGTGTATGACCACTTAAAACGAAACTCAAGACCTCAAGAGACATACGTTGCAAGCCAAAGATGGATTTTTCCTTGTCAGATTGTTTTGTTCAAAGCTGTAGTTTGACATTTTGGGAAATTCGCTGATTCACTTTCTTGCGTTTAGATGAGAAGATTGATACCATTATCATATTTGTCCAGTAAATATAAGGGTAGCATAAGCAGCTGGTTAGTTTAGCTTTCGTGCTGGACTATGTCTTTAACATCACTGCTTCTGGCCAAGAAATAGCCCAGCACAAAAGCTCTTAAAAACCACATTTTTTTTTTAAGGGTGAAACAAACAAGGTATAAAGTTTCAATTAATGAGCTTCAGAGGTGCTGGTAGTTGGATTTTGTTACCTTTGGACAGAGCCAGGCTAGCTGTTTTCCCTCTGTTTCCAGTCTTTGTGCTAAACCAAGCTAACCAGCTGCTGGCTGTAGCCTTATGTTTGTTGTTAGTGTGTTTAGTGTTCTCAATCTTTTTGTATAACATTTGGGAAGAAAACAATTGAGTGAACTTCCCAAAATGTCGGACCATTCTTTTTAAAGTATTTTAGAGGCACAAAGACATGAAAGTATCTGCTATTTCACAAGAAAATAGAAAATATTAGAGATAAGTCAGAAATAATAAACTCTTTCTCATCCTTTTAATCATTCTTGGGACCCTTCTTGGGTCCCGATCCACAGGTCGATTAATGAAAATAATCATTATTTGCAGCCTTAATGTATAAATTAGTAATAATGTAATATATTTTTCATTACCGCACAATCACCTTGAAGAAAAGTGAATAGTGTTTATTGATAGGTTTTTTTTTTCATAAATACAATTCAAATAGTGGCATTTAGCTAAATTACACAATGTGTCTAGTTTGTAGGTTTTAAGTTATGAAATTCTTCAACTCAAATTTTTTCAGACCTTATTCACTGCGTCAGTCTCAAAGGTCTTGACAGTGGCCACATTATAGAAATACTAAATGAAAATGACAGACAGTAGGAGTTGTCATCCCACTCTTTCCCTTTTCTCCAAATGAATTTTGAAAAGCTTTCGGCTGAAGCGTCCCCAATCCTGACATCAGCTTTACCTGCCCTGAAGCCCAAAGAGGCAAGGCAAATGAAACGTGGATAATAAAGGGCCTCTCCAGCTTCATCTGACCCTACTTCATTAATCCTCAAAGGACTAGAGAGGACGAGGAGGTTATTTCTTCATCATCACAACCTCTTTTTACCTCGGCCATGCTGGGATACAGACTTGACAGTGCTGTCTACACCTGCAGGAGGGTGAGAGAGTCCTAGGGTACATTACCCAGGGACTCTCTCACTGTCACAAGACATCTATCCAATACTGTGCAGGGTCTGGTTTCATTTCCATGAGTCATGTTTGCTGAGCTTTGGTCCTTGTGAATGCATGCTGGCTTGTTTTGAGTGAGTTGATGAGTTTGTAGCTCGTCTAACTGCTGTAATTACGCTGAGTTATTATGCTGCAGTCTGTCTTTGTTTTTCATTTCATTTTCAGCTGCTCGGCAAACCAGGCCTGTCAGTAATGTGTATGCATGTATGTGTGCATATGTTTATTCTTGTGTGATTTGTGTGTGCTGTGATGACTGTGGCTTGTATATTTTTGCAGCAACTCTCAGCAGTGTTTGCTGCTGACATGTCTCGTTCTGCCTTAAATTGGTTACATTATTGCCTCTGTATACTATGGGGACATTGTGTCAGGGTTGGCCAGGGTGTCGCTGGGCACTGGACTTCACAGGCTATTTAGATTTGACACTAACCACTCTCATGCTGCAAAGTTAACAAAAAAATTATTCCTTGATCAAAAACCTTTTCATCAGTCTGAGCACTTTTCCCTTGAGGATTTTTTTTTTTTTTTCATGAAGCCTTTAGTTTTCCTGCCTTGGGGAGATGAAGGGGAGGAAGCAAGAGCCACAGTGAGGATTTCCCTCCATCCTCGAGATAAGAGTGGTACGGGGCTGTTATGTCAGGCTTCAGTTTTAAGTGAAATATCAGACAGTGCAACCGTGTTTAAAATGTTTGTTTTCATGGGTATGAAAGACAATCACTCCTCCCTATCTCATTCTTTTTCTCTCTTTCTGTTGTTCATGCGAGTTGACAGCTATGATGGCTGTGGTCCCAGGCGAGAGTGGATTTTAATGAGCACTATGAAATCACCACCCCACCCCCCCACCCCCCAAATCTGAGAAAGAGGTTGCTTTTCTTAATGTGCCCATTACCCATTTGCACTTTCCTAAACTCTTGTACATCCATCAGCAGAGGCGTGAAGAGGCAAGAGAGGGAGGTAAATGTAGACTCGCCCTGTTGCTGTAAGTGATTCTCTTCTTGAGGACTGTTGTGATTAGAGGGTGACAGCAGGACTAAGCGATTGTTTTCAGTTGCTCCTCATATAGAAATAAATATTTAGAGTTCTGTGTATTTCTTTCTTTCTTTTTTTTAGCCTGATCATTAGCGTCTCTCCTTGTTATCCATTTCACACACATTGCATCAGAGCAGGGTTTTCTGTAACAAGTGCAGCTTGGCAAGTTTAGAGTTACAATCACGCTGAAACGGTCGATGGGATCTGCTAGTCATCCTTGATCAGCACAGCGAGAGGCCCGATTTAACATCCAGCACCTGCAACGAGAGAGGGAATAAAACTAGATTCAGCACGAGGCAGTATATAAATGACCTCTCATTCAGCACCTACATTTCCCCAACGTTTCAGGTATTGATATATAACACACCCCCGTCCCTTTTTTTCTCTCTGCCTCGGTCTTTGCTCTCTTTCTCCTCATGTGTCTCCTCCCTGGGAAGCATCCTGCTGACACTCTCCAAGGAGTCTTATTGATATTCTTAGAGAGGCATTGCGACGAGAGAGAGAGAAAGAGCAGAATGAAAGTCAGACACTATACTAGCACTGCCTTCTAGTACCAACAACAGTAAAAGTCACAAGTCACCCAGCAGGGATATGTCACCACTCATTTTTTCTGCTGCACTTTTATTATTCTCCAGCACATGGATAGGCAGTTTACCAGTCAAATGGATTTGCAGTGAAGCTTTAGTGTTGAAAGGATATTGTATTAAGATTAATCCCCTATTGTGATGTGAAGGGGACACGTTGCTTAAACATCATTATTTTGTTTTCACTGTGGCAATCGCCTATTAGGCTACAGTTAGCGTTTCAGTGACAGGGAGATGTACGAAGGAAATAAGATCTGACTGGTGAGACTGTTTTTATGCTTATTTTTTTTCCTCCTGAGGTGAAGAAGGCTTTTTAGATATTTGCATGTGTATTTCCTTGGTTCCTCTGAATCATCACAATAACATTAGGTATCATTTTTCATACAGGTGCCTATGAGTTGGAGTATGACACAAAAATAATACTTTTATCCAGTAGCTTACTTTGAGAAATACAAACATGTTTTTCTTCAAAACCCTTTTTTCGTCTAACAAATGAAGCAGAACCTTTCAAATATTAAAGGAGGCTTAGGTCCTTCCCCAGACTGTGACTTTCACTTCTCTCCTGCTTCCTGTTTTTTTGTGAAGTGGAATGATCAGTTTTTGTCAACATCTGTATGTGTAGGACATACAGTATAGTATGGACACCATGAGGATCTGTACCACATTTTGTGCCAGTCCACCCAGTAAACACTGAGATATATCACTGGTTAAGCAAAAACTTTGACCTGATGGTGGCACTATAGGGAGAAGTCAGAGGATCACTGTGGTCATTAGAATTCGTCCTGTAGAGACCTTGAATATCTGTAGCAAATTCCATTGCTTTTTGTTGCCTGTTTATTCTCCTCTACTCCCAGGTTATCCTTGGAGACGCGTGAAGGTGAGAGACGGGGTGTACGGGGAAATGGATTCGTTTTTTATTTTTCAAAAACAGAAAGTATAAACCTGTAGAAGTGACCTGCACAACGCATTGAGATGCGACTGCTGAAATGATGTGGTACGCTGCGGACCTGACCCCCACTATTCATGAGCCTCCATCATGGGCGCAGCTTTTCACTGAGTCACCCTGCATTACCTCACAAACATCAACACAGACACACAAACACACGGCATCATACATAAATCAAGCCGTACGCGTGCAGTGAATGAGTTGCCGCTGTCTGTCTACTGCTTACTTTTTCACACACGCATGCACACCTTGTTCTCTGAATGCATTCAGGAAATGAGATGTCCAGATTGCGTTGTCTGCTCTGCGTGGTCGTGCTGTAACTGACTTTTACTCCTACACGCGTAATGACACATTCTTCGCTAACTACCTTGTAGGCTCTGAGCCAGAGGGTTTCTGGGACTAATTTGACAGCTGCCACGGCTCATTATCTGATAAAGGGGACAGTTCTTGGCCCTGCAGTTTAAACAGTATTAGTGAAGATGTTATTTGCAATAACCTCACACATTGCAGTGCTGTCAGTGTAATATGTTTGGCCCTTTTTGCTTTCAGGATGAGAAAGTTTAAACGGATTTTTAAGGAAAGGTTCCTCTCATTTTCATTTCTAGTTAGATGTTAACTGTAGAACACCAGCAAACAAACATGTTTGCACACATCATTTCAAAAGGTTTCTGCAGGAAGAAAATGTCTGCTGCAATGCATAAGCATTTAACAAGACTGACTTCCTCTTTTCTCTCTTGTCTCTATCTCATCTTGACTCAGACTTGACCATGGACTCTTTCAGCACCAAGAGCTTAGCCCTGCAGGCGCAGAAGAAGCTGATGAGCAAGATGGCAACCAAGAGCGTGGCCAACCTTTTCATCGACGACACCAGCAGCGAGGTGCTGGACGAGCTGTACCGCGTCACCAAGGAGTACACCCGCAACCGTAAAGAGTCCCAGAAGATCATCAAGAACTTGATCAAGATGGTGGTGAAGCTGGGAGTGCTCTATAGAAACAACCAGTTCAACAGCGAGGAGCTGATCCTGGTGGAGAATTTCAGGTACGCAGGAAAAGTCATTAAAGGATTAGTCTGACATGTTGGAAAAAGTGCTTATTTGCTTTCCTCCCAAGAGTTACATGAGCAGATTGAAACCAGTTAGAGCTGGGAGGCAATTTGCTTAGCTTAGCATAAAGACTGGTTCCAAAATCCACCTACCAACACTTGTAGAGTCACATGACAACATTCAGGAAGTCACCGCCCCCAGCTGGTGTTTGTCAAGAAATAGTTACATTTCCCATAAAACCATGATATAGGCCGTATATCTCCAGACTGATATATCTCAGCAACTATTGGATGTATTTCCACACAGCTTACTACAGACACTCATGGTGCCCAGACGGCAAAGTTCAAGGTAACTGTGACCTCACAAGGTCATGGTGGCTTGACGTTCTAATGAATGACATATATAAGGATATAAGGCACAAACATTTGCTTCCACTCAAGTATGAACTGATTAGAATTTAGTGATCAAAGGTCAAAGTTCAAGGTCACTCCATTGTTAAAACACAAACATGAGAGATATTTCATCAATCTCTTGGAAAAGAGGCAGATACATGTATTTTCCAAAATGTTTTCTTTTAAAGGGATTTAAATGAAGAGCTCCTACCATAAAATTAAATAAAGTTAAATTAATGAAATAATGAAACAAAAAGGACTTAGTCCTGTTTGAGAGCTTAAAGTGGAGAGGACTGCAGTTCAAGAACATTTTTTGCCTGCTGATGGAAGCAAATTAAGGAAATTGGTTTTTACATCAGTTTATATATTTTCCACTAAAAGAGTAAAACTGAGCTTGGAGGCATGTGAAGCTGACATAAGTGCACAGTATGGAGAATGGTGATTATATTAGCATGGAGATGTATCGCTGTGAAGGACAATACTATAACTGATATATGGGGGTTGTAAAACTTTTCTAAAGAAAATCATAAGACAGCAGTTTCTATTTTTACATACTTCTGCTGCTCCAGTCAGAATTAGAAACTGACAGCCTCTCCTCTCTCTCTCTCTCTCTCTCGTCGTCTCACAGGAAGAAAGTCCACACTCTGGCCATGACGGCAGTCAGTTTCCACCAGATCGAGTTCACCTTTGACCGCCGCGTCATGAGCGCCATTTTGAATGAGTGTCGTGAACTGCTACACCAGGCCATCAAACGCCACCTGACAGCCAAGAGCCACTCGAGAGTCAACCACGTCTTCAATCATTTCGCCGACTGTGACTTCCTGGCCACTCTCTACGGGCCCTCGGAGGTTTATCGCGCTCACCTGCAGAGGATCTGTAACGGTGTCAACAAGATGCTCGACGACGGGAACCTCTGACCTCTGTTTGCCTCGCCATCAGGCGCCTTTACCTCTAGTCACCCTTCTTATACCATCTTGTAGGTTTTATTCTTTTAAGGTGACAATCATGAACATTTTATTTTTAATTTGTTGGTTTGTGTTTGTGTGTGCCTTTCAGATATATTACTGTAACACTGAAATTCTCTTGGCTAGTTAGTCCAAAGTCTTTTTCTTCTCCAGCCTGACTTTCTGTTATTTCACAGGAAAACAAAACCCAGCAGATGCTCTTTTTTTAATGAATGTAAAACTCCATGCTCTAATCAGTATATGCAGGGGTTTGAGTCTTGACAACTGTGCCTTGGAAAAAAAGACAACAACAAAAAAAGATTTTCTTCAATCCAGGAGCATTATCATTGCTCTCTTACTTAATCAAAAAGACATGAATCCAGGCACAGGCCTCCAGTTATATCTCTGTCAGGTGCCTTTTTAATGGACGAAAATGTTTCTGGGAGCACCAGGAGAGGAAGCGAATTTCCGTCTTTTCCAAATACCCAAAGACATAAAGAAGTGATTTTTTTTTTTTTTTTTGGTTTGTTTGTTTTGTTTTTTTCTAAAAGTAGTATTGCACTCAATCCTGAACAAGCGCTGTACTGTACTTTTGTGCAACAGTGAAACCATGTGAAGCATGGCAGTCGAGTAATCCTGCTTAGCCTGCATTTTACAGCTCTCACCATCATGCACTGAACTCCACTTTGTAGAGAGGCCAGGCTTTTGTTTAGAAGGCGCTATAAACCCAGTTTTCCTTTAATAGTCTGGTTTGCAGCTAACACAGTAAAGATGAAGTATTTGGGTCATAATGGGACCGTAAACATGAAGGAATTTGATTGTGCTGTATATTATTAATTGGCTCTGCGCTGACTGGAAGGTCTCATCTGTTCAGAAAAACTTCTAGTTTGTGACTGTAAATGTCATAATCACAGCAAGGAAGCAGCACAATGTGGCACCAGGTGCAAAGGTTGCTCTGGCATTTTATCAGATGGGAATAAAGCACTAGAGCTGGCAAACCTCTCGTCATAATAGATGTTGGAGCCCCGGGTCAGCTGTGTTTCAGATTTATTGGCATTGCCTCAGGTTTATCCTAAAAGCACAAAAACTCTGGTTCGAATTCTGACAGATATGAACTAAAAAGACTCCCCATGAGCAGTCAGATGAAAGGCCGGACGAAAACGGCAGCTTGGTGTGTATGAAAGGGGCCAGGCAGGATATAGAGATTAGAGCAGAGACAAACACAGCACCTGATTGTACTCTCCCACTGCAATTATAGCTCCACGCTCTGGGGTGGTATAATGGCATGGAGCCTGCCTCTGTCAGGCAGCCACTCCATTTCACCACACAGCAGCCTCATGTAATGTGATGGAGATAACCATCTCTGTTTGTGCGACGCATGTCCTTTAATGGAGTGAAAGATGTTGTTGTTTCTTCCTTTATAAAGGAGCATATGAATAGTTACTACTATCCCTCTCCAACCTCGCATAATAGCTGTCTCTCCTTTTTGTCTATGTGTTTTTGTATCACTGAGCCTGTCTGGGAGATTGTTTTGTGCTGCGGCCTCATTTTGTATTCTGTGTGTGTGTGTGTGTGTGTATGTGTGCGCGCGTGCGTGCGTGCGTGTGTGTGGTGTGTGTGTGTTTGTGTGTGTGTGTGTTTGTGTACCTGTGAGAGAATTGGAAATTGAGCTGTGTAATAAGCGCTGTGCTTTTCCAGATAGGATTGCTGAAACTTTAACTTCATCCACAGCAGCTAGACCAAAGAAAAGAAGACTGATGTTATTTAAAATGCGGTCTTTTATCAGAGGAACACTTCAGAAAACAGTATGCACTTGATCATTGTGACCCTGCTTATGGTGATAATGAAGACAAAGGTGGTGGCTGTTGTGGTTTCAGTCCTTTTTTTTAAATTACTATTATTCACCTTTTTAATTCTTAGACGAGTTCCCTGAGTATATTCCTGTTTGTTAAACCCATTTGATTCTGACTGCATCATTGTGGGAGGCTTTGAAGTAAATCCTTTTCTTTAAGTCCTCCAAAACAGTTGACTTTAATTGTCTTTGGATGCCATTTTCTCCAATCCCTCCACATCTCAGGGTTAGTTTAAATCTCTCTCAGTTTAAAATCCATGACGATTGAAAGATTAGGAACCTCTGCAACAGCCTCACTTATTTTACTAAAGCTCTCAAATGAAGCATACTTTTCACATTGCATTTTTACTATTGTGAATTGTGAAATGTTTTTTTTTTTTCACTTATGTACATATGATTGTTTTTCTGTCTCTATATTGTATCCTGACACAACAAATATAATACAGTTTACTTTTTTTAAAACAATACATTTCTTGTCCTTTTTTTTTTTCTCTTGATCAAGCGCTGAGAGACTTCCCATTTGTATGTTGGATGTTGGTATTTTCTGGCCAGATCAGGGGGGTAATCTGACTATGTCTGACCTGGATTTAGTCAGCAAAATCCCTTCCTCCATGCTTCCGGCATTGTTACGAAGCCATGAAAGCAACCACAAACCCATCCGACTGACAAATAATACAAGTCTGGGTCTTTTTTTTCTTTTTTTTTTCTTTTTCAAAAAGCCCACACAGCGGTCAAAGGTTGAACAGGAAATTAGTAAGACGGAAAGACTTCTTGCTTCTGTTTTTAGAAATTTTAGACATTCAACTCAGCTGTAGTTTAATTTCAAGTGTAGCCATATGGAGTAACACTCGGTGTTAATTCAGTTTGAGTTTAATCTGTCATTGACTTTGTGCCGCTTCTCAGACTTTAGAATGATAATTTGCCCTGTAGCACGTCTGCAGATCCTCCCTGCAGCACACTTGAAAGGCTACTGCAGTACCAAGTGCCCAATTATCCTCTAATGGTCATTATCTCAACATGCATTTTTTTCTTTCCTTTTTTTTTTTTTTCTTTCTTTTTTTTCTTAAGTGAATGCACCCTCAGGCTCAGAGAGCTCTGACTAAACTGAGATGTGAGTTCAGCTCAGTCTCATCTTGTTTTCTCTCTGTGTGCTACCTCCTCTTCTTATTTGACTTAACTGTGATGTCAAATAAAGTAAAAACATCCTGACATCAACTTGAATGATTCATTTGTGCCCGCCTTCTATTTTAGGGCAGTTGTGTAAGTGGTAAAAGTATTTTTTGGGAGAGGGGGGGGGGTAAAAGTTGAGTTTTATTATTTTTGATTACTTTACTCTGTGTGTGAGTGTCTTGCTCAAACAATTTCAGAAAATTAAAATTTCAAAATGACAGTCACGACTTGATTATCAGTGGATGTGAATGAGGGCTCTAATACATTTTGGTGAAGCTAGCTTCCACTGGGGCATAATTATCATTTCTACATAATGAAGTGACTACAAAGGAGCTGTCCTGCATCCTAAGAAGGATGGAGCAGAAAAGATGAAGTGTACAGAGGACCCATTACTCTTTCCACTCGTGTTCAAGCACAGATTACTGAGTTATGATTTGTGGCGAAGACTCCCAACCTGAACTAAACAGTTGAGCCGAGCAGTTGTACTTTTCTCCAGGATCAAATATGACAAAGGGATGAGTCTCTAGCTTGGCTGTGCTCATGTGCGACGCTGCTAGAAAGGACAAACCAAGCCTGATTTTCACGGTCTATCCCTGCAAGGATACAGGCAGTTAGTTTTGGCATAACACTGCAAAGTCTGGCTGCCTGTCAGTGCGGGCACAAACACCCTAATGTTTGAGTTCTGGGTGGTGCAGCAAAACAAACCACAGGGCATTGTGTTGAAACAGCAGGCAACGCTCCACATTCATACAACACCACACAGTAATATTTCTAGATTTTCTTTACCATGGATGCAAGTGATAAATGCCTTTCAGGCCCTAATGAGTGAAACAGGACTGGGATTGCTGCCAAAATATGAGTGGCACTACAGAAGAAACTGCAAAATGATGCAGCTGTTTCTGTGATGATATCTTTATTATACTTTTCAAACAAATCCAGCAGAGAAATATATGTTTGTTGATTTATGCTGCAGCATAAATGTGCGGTGGGTTTATATTCCTCAACAGCAGATGTACCTGAAGCAGAGACAAGTGAATTATTGTCTGAATAAAAATGAGGTTACATACAGTATGTAAAATATTTTGTCACGTTTTGATTTAGACACTACATCGTCTGTTTTTTGTTCCTCATTTCCATTGGAAATCCATGTGTTGGGGGTTTGACATCCCAATCTCACAGTGACATCCATACTTTCTAAATCTTATCGCAGTGCGTGCAGAGTGTTAACGCGGAGGAGCCTATCACACGAGGCTTTCGCTGACCTTTTGAGCACTTTCGTACACACACACACACACCAATCTCATGTAGGTTAGCTGGCAGGGCAGAGCAGAGTGAGCGCTGCTTATTATGTATTACTTTGCTTTTGTAGTCCCTGTACATCGTTACTCATCCAGTATGCTTAAAGGTGCTCTCCCCTCTGGCAAGCACAGCTATGACAGTCAGCTTCGAAGTTAGAAGTCTTTCAAAACTCTCCCCCCTCCCCCCCTCCTCCCTGTCTTCCTCCCCTTTTCTCTGTCTCTCTTTTACTCTTTCTTGGTGTCCCCACGCCTCTCTCTTCTCCTCACTCTCTCTAGTCCTCAGAGAGCACCTGACTGACGTGTTGTTCAAGGATGAAAAGCACGGCGGAGGGGAATCCAAAAGCAAACAACACAAAAATATACATGAGAGGCTGGGAAAGACGGTGTTGTACACACACACACACACACACACACACACACACACACACACACACATACACATAGAACTCACTGGCGAAGCCCTGAGGATTATCACCAGCATGACACTGGACACTTCAGGGAAGACAGCATCTGCTCGCTTCCATATTTGATGCCGCAATAAAAGAACATTGTCTTCTCAGGAAAACTTCTCATTTTCACTTTTTGTAAGTACAGTGTCAAATACAATGAGCGCACATAATCACTTCCAAACAACACGTTTTCTCTGTCCAGGTGGCTGCAGAAAGTTCCCAAAGTGCCCTGAGGCGTTCACACCGTGACTAAAAGCCATTTTGTGCAGAAAATTCTGACAGACACGAGGCCTTTTGCCTTTCAAAGCACTGCTTTTACATCTGTCCTTTCAACCAAGTTATGTAAGGTGTTCAGTGGTGTGCTCTCTCTCTCTCTCTCTCTCTCTCTCTCTCTCTCTCTCTCTCTCTCTCTCTCTCTGTCTGTCTCCCTCTCTTTGGGTCTCCTTGAAGAAATTCGACCAGGAAACTGTTACAAATCTGCAGTGGCAGTTGAGTTCAGCAAACACACGTGCATGCATCTGAAGTGTCCCAGCCTACATGCTCTGCTGCCTCTCAATGGGCAGTCGGCCTGTTACACGACTCAAAACAAGCGAGGCAGCACTACAGGAGGCAGTGGACAAGGTTATAATGAGGCCATATGCTCTGTCTGTCTTTCCCCAGCACCCGACCGTTGCACCTATATTGAAAACTGCGTGACAAAAAAGGCCTCCTGTTTGAAAAGCAGAGTTTGCGTAAGAAGGAGATTTATTCCCCCCTCTCTGTCCGTTTTTGTCCTTCAATCACTGGCACACATATTCAGCACAATAATATAATGGATGGAATAAAGGCGACCAGACTCAGAAAAGGCTGCCCAGCCAGCCTTAAATGGACAGCTGTGACAGCTACTTATTATTCCACAATGACTTTAAAATGAGCTGTGATTGTGTGTCTCGCTGCCATGTTATTTATGGACCTCACAAAGTGGGTGGCTGATTGGAGGAAAAGTGAGACTTTTAAGAGACATGAATTCAAGGTCTTTGACACACACACACACACACAATCTTAACTCATAAAATAACATGGTAATCTTCAGATTACCTGGAAAAAAATAATTAAAATTAAAAAATTGTTTACATCAGCACTGAATAAACTGAAGATATACAATATCTATTTATTTTCAGCTTTTATTGAGCCATTTATGTGTGTGTATACATATATATGCGTGTGTGTGTCTGTATCTATGTATCTTTAATCTTATTTATCTTTTATCAGTGTGTGAGGCACATTGAATTACTTTTGCATGAGACTGAGCTCTTAAAGTAAATTTGAACTTGAATGATCAACCATTATTTCAAAGTGAAATTCACTCTCATGACGCAAAACCTTTTAAACATTAACACACAGACACGTATAGATATGCAGTACACTCACAGTTACATCTTTAAATGCATGAGCAACCTCCCACCGTTCCACACACAGACTTGGGCTGTGTGCACCAGTATGTCGTGAGGAACAAGAGGCTCGAAAGGATTAATAGTGGCTGCTCTATCACTTCTACTCTTGATTTATTTTTTTATCCAGACTAGTGGTCATTACAGGCTGACAGCAGTCTGTCAACGTGTGGGCAGGAATCTTCTTAGCCTGTGTCTGTTTTCTCTCCCCCCCCCCCCCCCCCCCCCACATACCTGTATAGTAGAATATGTCAGGGAATGAAGTCATATTTCAACAGGGCACTACCAGAGGAATAGATTGCCATGCTGACTAAACAGCAAGACAGATGCCTTGAGTGTCTCACTGCTGAGTGACAGCAAACTGTCAGGGCTTTTGTGTGGCTCTGCCGCCGTCTTTTCATTTTGGATGCTGCCAGAGAGGGAGGGACTCATCCATGCAGCCGCAGTTGAGTGAAAAGGCACCTAGGAGGCATATTTGGGCTTGTCAGACACAAGAAATCTAATCCAGACAGCCAAGAATTGGAATTTGAATGAGAGACCCGAAAATAGCAGCTGTCTCCGCGTAATTGGAACAAATGGAAGTTGGATATGCAGCAGAAAATAAAACAAGAAAACAACTGGGACGTAACGTGACACTATTTGCTGACAGTTACAATAAGCTGGGGAGAACCGTGCCACAGGCAGGCTGTTGTTTGTAGCAGGGCAGCTTATAGTTTCTGTCAAACTGCTGCTGATCTCTGATCTTGTAGGTCGCAATTATGTGCCCCTCCGCCCACAACCCTACTATTCCTCCTCCATCCCTTCCTGCTGCCATCCTCCCCTACTCCTTTAAACCCCCTCTGGTATCCTAAGCAGCATTTAATTGTGAAGGGCTGAGCCGGGGAAGGAGTAATCAGATGAAAACAGTGGCAGTGGGAATCACGTGGGTATACATTGGCTAACCGGGGATTAATAATACTGGCTTCTTGATTGAAGTTCAGCTGCTCTCTGGCAAATGGGAGGTAGGAATATAAGGGGAGAAAGAGAGTGACAGAGAGGAGAGCAAAAGAGAAGAGAGTTACAAAGACAGAGGACGATAACGGATTCTCAGATGAGAGCAGCGAGTAACAGGGAGAAGAGACAGAGATGGGGAGAGAGGAGGGAAATAGAGAAAGGGAGTTAGAGCATTGAGAGGGAGTGGGAGGAAGAAAGAGCGAGGATAGGAGGCAGCGCAGCGCAGTGCGGGGGGGAGAGAGAGACAGGAAGGGAGAGAGGGCGAGAGAGAGAGAGAGAGAGAGAGAGAGGGAGATGTAGAGACAGGAAGCCTCCACTGCTACTGAGCCAGTGAGACGCAGGCAGGCTGAGAGAGAAGACGGAGAGAGGGAGAGAGAGGGAGAGAGAGAGAGAGAGGCCCTC